GCTTGTCTGTGAGCCTGTGCTGAGCTCTAGCCTTGGGGTTTGCAAATCTTTCTCCCACTTCAATATGCAGAATAGTTTTGAGCAAGGAGAAAGGCAGAGCCCTTCTCTGGAGGATAGATGTTATATGACAAAATCCTTGCCTTTCAGTCCTTGTGCCAGTCCGTCCCTCTGGCCATGATTAAAGTTGTGGTGATCAGTCCTCAGTAGTCCTGAATGTCTAAATGGTGACTCCTTCCGCTTCTCTTCCTGCCTGGTGTCTGTCTGTTCCTTGACTGAACCCACTCCTAGAGCCCTGATCTAGCTGCTGCTTCTGGCTTGCCGGACCATCTTCTCCCCATCCACCTATATTAGCAGCTCTGCGCAGACTCTCATATCCTTCTCCTTCTCACACTTTCTGCTGCCATCTTTCCCCATGTTTGCTGCCTGCCTTTTCATGTGTGCTTTTTCTCATTGCTCCACCTGCATATGCCCCGGGTTCACATGTACAGCCCACCACCCTCATGCAAAATCCTTCATCCTCATTGATGTGGTCCCTCCATCTATGTGACCTGGCTTCTTCTGCCTTTCCCTCTTTCACTCTGCACTGCTTTTGCTTTGATTTAAGCACTTTTAATGCCACCCTTTTCACTCCTTCTCCCAGATCTCCTCTGAATTCTCCCTGGAGCAGCTTTTTCTTCTCTGATGATCTTCACGTTTCAGTGAGGAACAGCAGAACTATCACTTGTTGCTTTACAAGTGACTCTGTGCCCTGCCACCCTAAGAGCTATCTCTCTCAGGCTGATTGGGTAAAACTCTGCACAGATTGGAGGGGAAATGAGAGACCAGCCCTGTCACTCTGCCCCTGAGCTGAAGCACCAAGCATCTCCCCACGGAAGCAAGATCCTGTGGCACTGCAGGGCATGGGCTGGCAGTGGTGGTGGACTTATGCATCTCTCAGGGACCTCGAAGAGCAGGAGGAAAGGATGGGAGACAGGAGGGGAAGAGAGGAGCTGCTTGAGGAGCTTGGCTGCAGGGAGCTGATGGAGAGCAGCAGTGGGAAGAGAAGGCTGCTCTAGAGGGATAGAAGAGGAGGCATCAAAGAGCACAGCAGGGAGCTGAGAAAGAGGCAGCGTTATCTGTCCCAACTTTGTGCCTGCGCTTGTGTGTCTGAAAGTGGACGGGGTCTGAGCTCTCTTTCACTTAAAGCCCAAGTTATTCCAGCCCAGTGACTCGGTTTATTTCTGTCCCTGCTCATGACATTTCTCTTTCAGGTGGCTGCTGCCTGGTTTGGGGTGGGGCTGTGGGCTGTGGCGACTCGTGTTTTCCAGCTCTTATCGGTATCAGGATGATGTTCTGCTTTTCTTTGCTGTCACACGGCATCCCGCTCCCCTCCCCTCTTTCCCCTCCCTCCGTCGGCTCCCAGAGGAGGCGACAGACGGTCCTGTAATTTGGTTCCATTCGCTCGACTGGAGCAACACCTGCCCCCCTCTCTGGGGACAGGAGGGTCTCATCCCAAACCGAGCAAGGAGCCAAAGACGAATCTGAAGCCCACATGCAAATAGAGCCCGGGATAAAACAACACGGCCATGCTGGGCAGGAAAGGCAAAATCCGTCACCAGGGAAAGAGGCAGGAGAAATAAAATCTCCTCTGAAGAAATAAAGAAGTGGTGCCAAGAGATTGCCTTTTCCTTTTGGGTCGGTTGCTATTGCGGTTATTGATCTGTCCCACCCTGGAGAATAAACTGAGAGTACTGAAAAATAATGGCTGATATTAGAACACATTTATTCACCCTAAAAGGACTGGGTTAATTGAGTTACAGGGTGGCTAGATGGATAGATATGTGAATAGATAGATAGAATGTCGCAGGGGTTTCTTCATGGCTATATAATGGAAAAGATCCATTTCTTTGTTGAATTTCATATACAGCATCCTCTTCAGCTCCCTTCCCCCCCCCCCCCCCATGAAGGTTTCATCTCTTTCTCATATGCACTCACTCATTGCTAGAAATACAGCAAAGATATCAAATCACATCGAAGACCCTCAGAATTTCTCTGCTGTAAGTATTAGTGCTAATATCCTACCTGGCTCACCCACTTTTAAGGCAGCGGTAAGACACTACTTTGTGCCTAACGAGTAGTGTGATCCTGAATATACCCATACACTTAGCTAGTGAGTGATGGTCCATGTCTAGAAATACTTCCTTTTATATATGTGTATCTAATAGCAGCATAAATGTAAGTCTATATTTTGGAATATTCTGTGCTCTAGGAAAGTAGATTATACTCATAGAAACAGTTCCCCGTTAGCTGTACAGTCCTGTGGAAACCAGTATGTTTATTTGTAGGAGTTACTTTTGGTTTGCTGCCTTAAAACCTCTTTTGCTGTATGAGGCTTGGAATCTGTTTCCAGGGTTCAGATGAACGCATTAGATGCCCTGTTTCCTAACAATACTGATGTGAATGCACATTGCACCCCATGCCCATGTATGTCCATATAGGCTTGCAAATGTGTCTTAATAGGTGTTACCACCTTTTGTTAAGGGAACACTGGATATCCCTCATACTGGGATGTTCTAGGTCTACCCACTGGAAGTAATTCCTCTCTGTGACTGCCAGAGGTTTCCATTTAATGTTTTATATCCTGACTGAGTCAGGATTAAAGCACCTCTTTCAGCACCAGCTGAAGGTCTAGAAGTAGTGCTCTGCCTTCTCTGTCTTTGAGCGTGCTCTTTCATGGTTCATAGGATGAGCTCCTCTTTAAATGTGAAAGAAAGATATCTGAATGGAGCTTTAATCTTAGCTTTAGTCCCTAAAAAAGCAGGAAATATTACCTCTGTTTCTTCCCTGTCAACTGTTGCATTGGCCATGCATGGTATAAACTTCCATCGAGCCAGTTCCACCCCCTTCCTCCTATAATATTGTCGCTCAAGATCATTAGTTCCTGTATCACTGAGGCAACATATACGTACGTAAAGTAACTGATTATTTAAGTAGATTTATTGCTGTCTAACACAGACTTGCAGTGAGGTGGAGTTAAGGTTGTTTACCCATTCTTCATAAATCTGGGTTTATGAGCACTTAGCCATGCAGCCTTCTTATTGCATTGGCCTTGCAGCTTGTACATACTGCTCAGATCTTTCTCAAGAGGAAAAGAAGGCATGAGATGGAAGTGAAAAAACTACAGCTTGTTTTCAACAAACATCAACTGCTAGATGAGAATGAGGCTCCTTCTTGGTGCCAGTAGGAAAAACTGAAGTGGTTGGGATGATGTTATGGTGGTGAGAGGATAAAAACAAGGTGGTGAGAGATGGAAGTGAGACAGGGCTTGTAGGGAAAAGCAGTTTCTTCCATCAGATAAACCTTTGGAAGAAAGGGATATGTCTTCTCAAGTGCCCTGGCCCCTCTGTAGGTTAAACTTGTGACTTGATCCTGTGGATACCACCAAAATCAAAGCCCTTTGTGCCCTCTCTTTTGAGCACAAGCAGGCTCTCTGGTGTCTATGAGGATGGTGGGAACAGGATGACCCAGAGGATGTTCTTGTTTCCAAACCTAACCTGTTCCCATACATCTCCACACTACCCTCTCCTGTACTCACAACAGAGGGTCTCACTGTCTCATTGCTTGGGCACAAGAGTCCTGTAGCTGGAAACTCAAGACCCTGGGCTAATAACCACTGCTTGGTCCACAGCATCTTCACTGAATGGCCCTGGCTTGAGCATCTCTCAGGCTGGGATCTGATGTGTTTGAAAGAGGTCAGAGTGTGGCCATGGGGAGTGCTGGGTTCACACCTCCTTGTCCCACAGCCCATGTCCCACCAGTGACTGCAGCCAGTAAAGTAATATAGTATATGCAGTAAGGTAAATCAGAGCACTCTTTTGCCTAAAAAGTGTGTTCCCATGCTCAAGGAGGAAATCATATATTAATCTTTTTATTATCTAAGCCCTCCTGCATGTTAGTAGCATGAAGGCTTGATGAATGGCAGGATTTATAATATCACTCAGGCAATTAGCATCAATCTCGACCCCGATGTTGACAGAACCTAAGAAACAAGCGTGTCCCAAAGAAAACCAGCTCCAAAGTCACTGGAGTTGCCCCAAAAGATGCACAATTTGGAAACTGTGCGTTGAACTATCAAACCTGCCTGGGCTCCCTTGGGATGTGGGAAGCGTACATTGCTAGAAAGTGGAATTAACAGCCTCTTTGACAGGTATTTCTGCATGGAGCTTTTCAGCTGGTCAAGCCCTGCACTTAATTAAACCACTGTGCAAAGTGTTGGCCATAAAAATGGGAGGAGGAGGGGAGGGTTTTATCTCTCCAGCAAGTAACAATGGGAGACGCAGCCTTCCGAGTGAGTGGCAATATTCAAATTATAGGTAAAATTAACCCCTTGCAGTAAACAACAAAAACATTTAACAAATGAGGTGGCACAAAGGTCTCCCGTTACTCAGGTAATAATAACCTGTCTGTTACTGAGTCTGTCTCTGCCATGTTTCAAACAACAAGCTTTGGCAGTGAAGCTTTATATAAGGGAGTATGATTGAGGTTTTCAGAGACAGGGAAAGGATCCAAGAGATTTTACTTGGTTCCAGTAGAATTGGACCTGGCCGAGGAACTGAATTTAAACACAAGACAGAAAATGCAGTGCAGGACAACACACCCACATTTTGGTTGCAAAGTCAGATGTATCGAAGAGCAATGAGACTAAACGGGTGCTTGCAAACATCAGATTAGATTTTACAGCCTAAACTTTGGCATGTGTGACCAGATGCCAGTCATGATGTGACTGGGAGAAGCTGGGGATAGCAGTCTTATGCCCAATGCGGAGCTGGGCACAGTGCAGCCAGGTAATAGTAGCTGGAGCAGGGAACCCCTGGTGAGGGGCTGCAGACCGAGTGTCTCTAGGAAGAAGCAGGTAACCTGTTGAAGCTTTTCCACCCACAACCTGAGAAGCCTTTGCAATCCCTGTAATTTGTAAGGGCATTGTATCTCCGTCACATAGAAAAACCAACAGGGAAAAAGAATTAGGAAAAAACAGCTTTTATTTGATACTTTTATTTATATGCAAAACAGCTCACCATTCATGAGAGATATGAAAAACGCATCAGATAGAAACCAGATTTTTCTATTTTCACTACAAAATATTGCATTATATAAAGCAACAGAGACACACAAAAAAACCCTGAAAAAGACTAAAATCTTTGGATAGCAGATGTGGTTTGTTTTTTATTTTTCACTCTCTTTTTCTCTTTCGTCCCCTCAAATGCGCTTCCTGTTTTAAGAGATTCACAGCAAAGAACATGAAACATCTTCAGGTTATAGAATATCTTTTTTTTTTTGGTTGTCACAAAGGAAAGCAGTCCTGGATTTACTTTTTCTTTCTATTTTTTTTCTAGTTTTTTCTTTAGGAAAAAGGTCCTTTCCTAAAAATATACCATCCCACATACACACCGGCGCTCACTCCCCCACACATGCATGTACACACACACGCACACGCACATATACACCTCACAAAGATACTACTTTCCTTATAAACGATTTGCAAAGTACTTTCCAGACGTAAGTATAGATCAGAAGAACAACAAGTGTTTAAAAAACCCTCTCCTAGTTAAGTGCTAGTGGTTGTCCATACCACACGAGAAAAGAAAGGGGGGGGGGGGGAAGGTCAAGAACAAATGCCTTGATATATATAAAATATAAACAGGGGAGGTTTGTCGTACACAAGTGCAATATAATTGGAGGAGGGAAAATGAATTTAAAAGAATAAATAAATAAAGGAAAAGGAACACTGTATCCATCCCAACAAACACTCATAAAGTTAAACATAACGTTCCACACGGAGAAAGTGTAAACACCCGACTATAGAAACGAATTGGCACAAAGTATCCAAAGTAAAACCGCCACCACTCTGAAAAATAAATAAATCTTGGAAAAAAATAAATTGTCGACTCCTTCTACCATAAATAAAAAATAGTTATTTTTAACTGCACCCATGGGTCACACGTTTAAGGTCACAAGTAGATGTGTTTTTTTTTGGATATATATATAAAGGGGCACTTGACAGCCTGAAGAAACAATCCGGTTTTACACTTCTCGTCGATAAACGGGAGAGGGGAGGAGGGGGGTCTCCGTCGGCTGCACCGCACCGGGAGGGAGAAGCCCCGGGGAGAAAGGTGGGGGAGTGTCCCGGGGCTCCGGGGGTCCGTCGGGGCGGGCGGGCGGGCGCTACACGTCGAGGACGTGGTTGAGATAGGAGATGTAGCAGATGGCGAGGCGCAGGATCTCGATCTTGGAGAGCTTCTTGTCGGGGGGCAGGGTGGGCAGCAGCTTGCGGAGCTCGGCGAAGGCCAGGTTGAAGGCCTCCACTCGGATCCGCTCACGAGTGGCGTGCGCAGACCGGTACTTGGCCGTGGCGCGGCGCCGCCGTCGCTTCTCCTCCCGGCTCAGCGGCGGAGGGTGCAGCCCTGGCCGGCCCCCGACCCGGCCCTCCCCGACGCCGCCGCCGCCCCGGCCCTCGCTGCCGCCGCCGCCGCCCTCGGCGGGCTCCGGGTCGGAGACGCAGCAGCTGAGCGGCTGGGGGTCCGCGCCGCCGAGGGACTCCGGGTCGGAGGGAGCCGAGGAGGGATGATCGGAGTCGGCAGCTTGGTCAGGGCTAAGCATCATCTTGGAGGGGGCGGAGGAGGAGCCTTCCCGGGACAGAGGAGAGGAGAGAGCGGGTCAGAGTCCCACCACCGGCACCGCTACCGGGGAACAGGCGAGCAAGGGTAAAGGGGACATGTCGGTCCCTCGGCACCTGCCCCCGTCGCCGGTGGCTGCCGCGGCCCCGCCGGAGCTGGCCGTGGTGACGGGAGAGCTGCTGCTCCTTCAGGGAGCACCAACGAGAGCAATGCCGGGGATAAATGATGCCCTGTCATTCACCATCACCATCCAGGGCACTCACCATGCCCGTCAAAGACTGATGTTTGACGGCAGCTTCAGAGGAAGCTACCCTCTCTCCATTATCCCCCCTGTTTTCTTGGGTGTAGAAACAGGCCCGGAAAGCAATAAAAAAATCCATATTTTTTTACCAAACAAGTTAATATCCAGTGGCTCAATAATAGGTAGTTTTCTTTTTCTTTTCCGATTTTAACATCGTATTTCCTCCTCCTCCAATCTCTGCTTAACCATTTCTTTCTCGGTAACATTCTGTGAGAGCCGGGGCTACAGGCATGATGCTCTTAAATATGCAGCCCAAGGCTCCCTAAACATAACAAGGCCAGTGGGGAAATTTATTTCCCCAATCCAAAGTACGGGGTCTGATGTATCTGCAGGGCTTTCCCCCTGCTCTTTTCTCTCCATTTCCCTTCCTTTTTTGTTTTGTTTACCTTTCCGGCTTTTCCTGCTGCTAATTGTGCGGGCAGCGATTTGCCAGCGCCTGAACGGAGGATGTTTGGGAGAGAGCCTATTTTTAAGCGTGGGATTTAAAAAGAAACCAAAGCTTAAAAGCAGCGGCCGAACTTTTCCATCCCTTTAAATTTTCCCTCCTCTCCCCTTCCTGCGAGAAAAGGAGGGGGGGGGGGGCGCTAGATAAATAAATAAGTGCGGACGTGCCTTTCAAAAGAAAATTGAATCGTATCTTCTTGCGGCCTCACAGAGCACCATCTGTCATGTAGACAGCAATACAAACCCGAGCGCGTCCGTGGACATGCCGGCATGTGATAAAACAATACGTCAGGCAACTAGTGAATAACCTTGGACACAAATGTGCGTGTGCTCAGGGTGTGCGTGTGTGTGCGCGGTCAGGGTGTCGGGGGAGGTGAGGAACAAGCCTGGGGGAGGAGGAAACATCGCGTCCTTCCTCTTCTCCCGAATTCAGGTTTGCCCAGTATTTCCACGCGAAGTTTCCAGGCAAAGTCCTCCCTCGGGTCTCGGGCCCGGTTGGGAAAAATGAATTAAAAGTAGCAACAATAATAATAACGATAATAATAATGACAATGAGACATTAAACGAAGGCAGGAGAAATGCTTCTTCCCGGGCGAGACACTGACACACGTGGCGGGGCTCCACCGGGGTGCCTGGAGGAAAAAGGCCTGGAGCGGGAGGAGGGAAGCGCTTGCTTCCCTAGGAAAAGGCCACCGCCTGCCAGGGCCATGAGGAACCCTTCCTCTTCGAGTTTTAATAAGGAGCAGGGATCAGGCCCAGGAGGCAGGAGCAGGAAATAAACCCCGCGGGTCAGGTGTCAGCCATCTCTCGGAAGAAAAACAAAATAGATGAATAGGAAACGTTTAAAACCACCTTTAAGGGGCTCGTGCGAAAGCACAGGAGAAGAGGGCAGTTGTAGGAAAACGGGCAATTACAGAGCTGGTTCCTGAAGAAAGTTGCTTAAAGGTTTGAGTTGGATTTTCCCCTTCGGTTTTGGGGTTTACCCATAAGCCGGGTTTTGGCGAGCTGAGCCGGAAGGATGCTCCCCCCCCCCTTCTCTATTTTCACCCCCAGTTTCAGCAAGCCAGAGATACCTGGCAAAGGGACATACATTGTGAAGGCTGCTTACCTCGGCGGAGCGGTTCGGACAGCCTCTCTCTCCGGGTCCCCTCGCCCCCTCGCCGATTCCTTTACAGTTCAAATGACCCTCCGGCAACGGAGCATGGAAAAATTAAAACATCAAAATCAAATCAAATGAATTAGGAGCGGAAAAAGTGTCCTGCTCGGATGGGGAAAAGGCAGATCTCATCCCTCGCCGCGGCCTCCAGCGCTCCGGAGATGGGGAGATGTTATCGCCGTGGTTGGTGGCAGAGTATAAATAACAACTTAAGTTACTTACGATGCATCAGGGAAGAAAAAGCGTTTCCCCCATCGAAGTCTGCCTCCGCCCGCTAATTCGGAGCAGCACCGGCAGCTGCTGCCAGTCGGGGTTATATTTTGGGGGGAACTGCGCCGGGAAGTGCCGGTTCCCCCGCTCTTCTTTCCTCCTGTTCCCCAATCGCGATAAGTAACAAAAGGGATGCGGCGACAGCACCAGCAGGGGTTATTCCCTCTCTCCCGCCCCCTCGGGCTCTCCTTCCCCTCTGCCCCCCCGCCGCAGCTCGCGGGCCGGGCCCGGCGCGGAACCCCCGAGCACGGAAAACGGGGGACCGCTCCGCGCTGCGCGGAGCCCGGCGCGGCGTTGCCGGCTTTGTTCGGCCGCGGCCCCGGTAACAATGCGTTGCTCCCTCCTTTTCTTCTCTAGTGTTATTATTCGGGGTGCAACGTGCGGTTTTGTTAATCCACGGAGAGAGGGGTAGGAGAAAGGGGAGAGGCCGTCGGGAAATAAAATGTTTGGTTTAGTTTTTCTTCTGGTCCTTCAAGAGCTGCCGAAGGGGAGGGAAAAAAGGATAAACGAAACCCCCATCCGTCCCTGAGCTTCCTAACTCCTCCTGCATCTCTCGAGGGAGAATAGAAAAAGCGAAATGCGAACGTTGGAAAGAAAAATCAAAACGAAATAAACGCAAATCTCGGAGCGGGCTCGGAGCGGCTGCGAGGGGGAACGTCGGTGCAGGAAAAGGTATGCTCACTCGCACAAAAAGAAAGTGCAGTTCCTCCTCCCACCCCTCGCGGAGTGGCAAAGAAGCCAAGGAGGTGTGCGGAAGGTGGCAGGCAGACGGACAGAGCGGAGATGCATGCGGATCCGCTCCTGGTACCAAAGGGTTTAGCATCGAGATGGTCGGAAAAGATAAAGGCTCGGAGAAAAGGGGGCGGCATTTTTTCCCTCTTAAATTGATATTTAATGGGAAAGCCTATTGGACAGAAACCCGGACACGAGTCACTTAATTGGACTTGACATCTGTCACAGTGTGGGAGTTTTCACAGCCCAAATATTTTCAGCAGATCAGATTCTCGCTGAATCTGTGCCACAAATTATAACAGTCGAGAGCAGCCCGTGATACAAACCCTAGCCTCTGGATATACAGTCTCTAGCCATGCTCACTTCCACCACCGTTGTCCCCCCCCACAATATCAGATACCCACTGATCTAGAAAAACACCGCTGGCATTTTGCATGCAAGCTAATAAATAAGCTTTAAGCATCAATTTGCATCATATGCACCGAGCCTGTGGAGAATCGTCAGACTGGGGATTTTGTGCATGTGTTTTGGTAGTCCCCATGCCCTCTCTCCCACTCACCCCAATCCCAGTGCATGGCAGGCACGGTCCACCAGGGCCAGGGGGGGCAGGGAGGCCCTCCTAGTCCCTCTGCTTCCCCCCCCCCCCCCCCCCAGTGTCTCTATCCCTGCCATCCTTGCTCCAGCACACAGACAATGAGGCGAAGCCGGCTGTGGGGACAAGGTTTTTCTGCTCACAAGAGGCCAGATGGAGCCAGGCCTCTTTGCACTGGAGCCAGGGGATGCCTTTGACAGGGGTGACTCTTCTTGCTGCCACCTTGCCCCAACGCCGTTCAGCTGGCAGCCTGTTCTCCATTCTGATCCCCTGTTCGCTGTCTCTCTCCGCTCAGATCCCACCAAATGGGGGCTGTAAGCCACTTTTCTTTGTGTAATCACCTTCCTCCCTGGAGACTTCTCTGTGTCCGGAGCCTGTGCTGGCAGGCTCTCTCTGCACCCCCTAAAAAAAGAGGCAGCAGGAGGAATGTGTGATGCATAGAGCAGAGCTGGTTCTGCTGCTCACCAGCAGCTCAGTGTGGGTGCTTAGTCTCACCAGTGCTCCTTCTCTCTCCGGGTCCCATGTGCAGGATGGAGGGGGGCAGGTGAGGTGGCACCTAAGCACTTACAGGTGTCCCCAGGGAGGAAGGTGATTCCAAGTTCACCCAGTCACACATGCAAAAGGCTGAGAGATCTCTGAATAGGGAGAAGTTCTGCTCTTGATATGATTTGATATGATCTCAACAGGAATGCCTGGATAATTCTGGGGTTTGCCTGATTTCTTTTGCAAATGATAGATACTCCAGCAAAGAATATGATGTCCCTGCATGTCACCTGGTCCACTAGCAAAAGAAACACCTGCAACAACCTCATGGACATTTCTTTCAGGGAAATTTAGGGATTTCTCTCCCTTTTCCTGCCCACAATGTCTCCAAGGCAGCAGGAAGCTGTCTCTTCCGTAGGTGCTCTGACTCCACATATCTACACTGGATTCACGGACATCCAACAAGATCCCAGCAGTGCTTCTGGAGATGGTTGTCTAGGTGATCCTTGGGTGCCATGGGACATGCCTGTCAAAGACCCTCGATGAAAGGTTTCTAGAGCTGCAGAAAGCCTTTTGCTGAGCTTGAGGGGAGCAGGAGGCATTGTTGTGAGGTACCTGGTCTGCATGGAAAGGGGGGGGGGGGTGTTACATTGGTGCTCGGGGGGCTGTTTGATCTCCTAGGCACAGGGACTCAGTAACCCCCCTTGCTACTGTGAAAAGAAGCAACTAAAATCGCTGCTCCTCTGCCAGGAAGATCCAGATGCAAATCACCATGGCTGTGGCACATCCCCATTCAGCTCTGCTCTCCGATAACCTTCACAGATGTTCTTTGGTGATCAGGATCTGAGCAGCTGAAGGTCACTGTGCTCCACTTGCAAGACTCAAGGTTGCATTCCATCAAATGACCACGATCCCACACAAGGAGCAAGCTGTGAAGGAGCCCTTTGCCACCTCTTACTTGACTGTGGCTCAGCGCTAGGGGCTTTGGCTTGCAGCGCTCCTCAAGGTGTAAGCCTGAGGTCTCAGACCACAGAAGCTGCAGGTGATGGAACAAGTAGCTGGCTAAGGCTGCATAGACAAGAGCCAGGAAGCTGTTCTTCATGCGAGACACCCTGCTCTCTGCTGTAGATGCTGTCATCACACGGCTTGCTCTTTATTTTTAATCTCAAGGAAGAGCATGAGCAGTTCTTCTCGATGCCCTTCGGTTATGAATGGACATTTCTGACACCTTGTAAAGCGCTGTTTACTGCTGCTGTGATCCGATTACCCCATTGCTCTGCTCCCAGATGTGTTAAATCCAGAGGTTCCCACCCTGCCCTGGACACCCCAGGCCTGTGGCATCTACCAGAACTTTAGCACCAAGAAGCCTGTCAGAAATGCTGGAGCTGACAGCCTGGCTCTTCTCTGAGCAGACAAATCCCAAAGCCCAGCAGCAAGGCCAGGTTCTCTCAGCGGAGAGAACCTCTCCTCTCCTGCTTCCAACCACTTGCATTTGGAGGAAGAGGCTGGTTTCCAAAGCTGACTGGTCCAGATGTGGAGGTCACCAGAATCATAGAATCATAGAATAGTTAGGATTGGAAAGGACCTTAAGATCATCTAGTTCCAACCCCCCTGCCATGGGCAGGGACACCTCACACTAAACCATGTCACCCAAGGCTCTGTCCAACCTGGCCTTGAACACTGCCAGGGATGGAGCATTCACAAATCCTTGGGCAACCCATTCCAGTGCCTCACCACCCTCACAGTAAAGAACTTCTTCCCTATATCCAATCTAAACTACCCCTGTTCAAGTTTTAACCCGTTACCCCTTGTCCTATCACTACAGTCCCTAATGAAGAGTCCCTCCCCAGCATCCCTGTAGGCCCCCTTCAGATACTGGAAGCTGCTATGAGGTCTCCATGCAGCTTCTTTTCTCCAGGCTGAACAGCCCCAACTTTCTCAGCCAGAAGTGGTCAGGAAGTGCAGCTGATGGAAACTAAACCAGTTGCATTTTGGCAAAGGAGACTAAAGCTCTTCCTCAAGCTCTCTGTGTCTTTTGTCTTAGAATATAGACTGATGCAAGTGGAGACTCACACACTGGGTACCAAAGTAGGGTCCCAAAGGAAGCTGCATAGATGCAAGGCCACCTGATGACTTATATCCCCAAATATAGCCATGTCCAGTGCAAGGCTATGGTTGGTCTCTTCACTAAACAAGCACCTCACTGGTGTCAAGACAAACTGAAATCTGGAGAAGGGCTTTTTACAAGGGTATGTAGGGACAAGATAAGGTGTAATGGCTTTAAACTGACAAAGAGGGAGATTTAGGTTGGGCATTGGGAAGAAATTCTTCCCTATGAGGGTGGTGAGACATTGGCACAGGTTACCCAGAGAACTTCTGGATGTTAATTCATTAATGATTGCAAATAAAAGCTGCACACTGCTATGACACAGTAAAGTATTATAGGCCAACAAACAATATTAAGTGATGGGTGGTGCTAAATGTGTGACAGAGACTCATGACCCAGGGTCTTTCAGGGGCCAGTGGGATAGGGCTTTGGAAGGGCAAGAGTCAGAAGAGGATTGTCTTCAGGGTGTAGTCAGAAGAAATAAGACTGAAACCACTGCTGCCATGCCATGGTATTTTAGGGAAAGGGGGCACTTTGTTGTGTAAACATCTCAGATTCATGCCACATGATCATTTGAAGGTAATGTCATTTGTGGGTTGGTACATACCCACTCAAAGTCTGCAAGGGTGCAGCACTAACACCCCAGAGCAGCCATTTGTTCTGAGATGTCCTTGGGGCCTGGGGAAGGAGAAGGATGAAAGAACCCAGCTGGGCTCTTTAGCACTGGGCCAAATATTAGGAAAACCATTTTTCACTTAGAGCCTAAGCAAATCTCACTGGGCTGCCATCGGGATACATCAAACACAGGAACCCACAACGTCACTTTTATGGTGCTGCTTGTCAGAGCAGAGCTGCGCTTCCATTACTGACACGTCCTTTATCTGTCGAAAGGACAGCTCTTCCAGGAAGCTTGAGAACATCCATTCTCTTTTATAGCATACGCCATTCACGTTGCTGGCATATGCTGCCCATTGAAATAAATGGAGCTTGTCACTCTTGGATGTGTTCCTTGGAAATAAACGGTCAAACAAATTAGAATGCTGAGCCATGAAAATCCTTGTCCTTTTGAAAAATCTGTGCTGGCTATAGCTCAGTGCCTCTGTTCCTGGTTTCCTTGCACATTTGGATGATATCTTCTGTTTTCCACCAGTCATATTTGCTTTCTCAAGGTAGTAGGATTGAGGCTGGGTTAATAATGGGTCAGCAGATTAGAGGCTGATGGCAGGAACAGCCTGCAACTGGGGATGGTGAAAAAAGTTTCCCTTCTGGGCCATGAACAGAGAGGTACCAGGGCCACCAGATCTGTTTGTGAGGCCACCCTGGCTAAGGTATGCCAGCATTACAGGATAGGCATGTCTCCTCAGCTGCTCCCTTGGAAGTATGAGTGTGTCTGTCTCTAGGACCAGCTGCTATGTTTAAACCAGTGGTCTCCAGACTAGCTAATGGTTGAAATCTATGTCTTTTGGACAAAATCCTGATTCTTTTCACCTAGTTGCAGCCTTTGGCTCCCGTCCTTCCGTATGTGTTTTGGTTCCAGTTTTTTCCTTTGGCTGTTGGACTAGAGGAGCCATGACATTAAGATCAAGCTCTAGCCTCTACTGTAGGGCCAGGTGCCATCATGAGAGTGTTCATGACCTTTCACTGACATATTGTCTTGACATCTCTAAAGATCATCCTTGCCATTTCAGCCAATATTCATAGCTCTCTTGAGGGTAGGGTGTCTCGGGAAATGGAAGATGATGAGGAGATTTTAAAGGCAGAAAGGACTATGGTGAGCATCTCTCTTCAGGTTGAAGGCCACAGGACTTCCCTACTCGTATGAATGAGTGTATGATTTCAGAAATAATATTAATGCTTGGTCTAAACATTGGTGGTGGTGGAGGGTTCATTATAGTCCTTGGAAAGTTCCCCCATCAGCCATTTATCCCCACTGTTTGAAACACTGATATGGAAAATGAGCATGCACACCTTCAGCATCCAGCCATGGGATTTTGTTGTATCTTGCCCCTCTGGATTAATAGCTCTCTATTGTCATCTTATCAGGTTTAGGTAGGGGTTTTGTGAATGAGGTATGCATGTGTAGAGCTGATATGCCTGCATGCTCCAGTTATTAGCTTGGACTTTCTGGTCATGCAAAGCATAGCTACAGCTATTGCTGCTGCTCCGGTCAGATGTCTGGAAATTTTGGACAAATGGGAACATTCCACCTGGGCAAACATTTCAGGC